CTGGATCTGCCTTTCCAAAAATTTGAAGAGTTCTTCGTTTAGTTAATATAAATAAAATGTTTTTTTTAACTTCCCGTAGCGTAGAGTAAGTTATTGTAATGGGCCGAAAATCGAAATTGAAAATTTTTACATTTCTCGACGTTTTGAAGATTTCTGAACATTTTGGCATACCTCAGAAAAAATGGATGTGTGTGTGTATGTATGTATGGATACAATTTTCCAGTCACGTTTTTAGGCGCACGGATCAACCGATTTGAATGGTTCAAAAACACTCGATTCCTATTGATAGGGAGATGTGCTGATTAGTTTTTGGCAAAGTTTTTTTAGAAAGGTCCAGCAGTTACGGAGATAAAGAGCAAAGAGTGCAGAAATTAGAAATCGAGTTTTTGAGAGAACGAATCATCCGATTTGAATGATCTAAAAAACATTCAATTAGTAATTATTGGGAGAAGTGTTTATTAGTTTTTGGCAAAGGCAGGCCCAGTCATTTCGAAGATACAAAGCTAATTGTGTAAAAAACGCAGTTTTTGAGAGAACTAAGCGTCCGATTTTAATGATTCAAAGAACTTTCTGGTTGCCTTAACAAAATAATTGATTTTGGAAAAAAAAATTTGTCCCATTTTTTTTTTTTTGTATGTCGAAAATATTTATTTTTAATTCTGACTATAGTTTTAATATACTTTAAACAAGTAATTTCAACTTTGCAATTCAGTTTATATAATTCTTATAAATATTAGACAATGTTACAATATTAATAATGATCTATTTGAAAACATTCAGTATTCCTCGAACATTTCGTTACGGTACGGAAAGTTCCAGCAATTTGCCTTAAGGCAAGATGCTATACACTCCACTAGTTTTTATTCAAATCAAATGCTCCTTTCTCTCAAAAACGGAATTGCCATTTTTGGTTCTTTTTGTCCTGATTAGTTTTTGGCATCATGCCTTAAAGGCAAATTGCTGGAAGTTCCCGTACCGTAACGAAATATGTTGAAAAAATATTAAATGTTTTCATATAGATTATTATAAATACTATAACATTGTCTGATATTTATAAGACTAATATAAACTGAATTGCAAAATTAAAATTATTTATTTAAAATATATAAGTGAGAACCTTCAGCCAGATTTAAAATTAAAATCTGAGTTATTTTCAATATACGAAGTAATTTTTTTTTTGAAAAATAAAATAATTTTTTTTTGAAAAATAAAATAATTTTTTTTTTGAAAAATAAAATTTTTTTTTTTCGAAAAGCAATTATTTGCTAACACAAGTAGAATTTTTTTTGAATCATTAAAATCGAATGCTTAGTTCTCTTATAATATTAGCTTATCAATTATAATATTATCCTTTTGTTAAATTGGTAACAATCCTGCTCATTGTCTTATCTAACAGACTGCAGAATAAACTGAATTAAATTAACACTTTGATGACCGGTCACAAGTTAACTCTGAATGTTGCTGACCGAAACTAGATATATTTGTAAAAGCTATTGAGTACCATTACATGTAGATGCTTATCATATGAAAAAGATATATTAAAAGTTAAATAAAACTAAAATTTATTAAAGTTCATTTTTATTGTTTTACTTCCACATCCACCAAAGTGTTAATAATAATAATATTACCACTGAAATTGTAAATCAAAATCATGAAAATTAAAACATACCTGCTATTTACATACTTTCTTCAGTTCACTAAGCAATATCACTTGCTGACATTCACAAAAGCAATCTTCAAATCTATTCTAACAACAGCACTGAAATAAAATTAATAAGATTAATACCCAGTAAATAAATACTAAATAAATAATGATTATTGTATTGCCGAATAGTAACTTACTAATCGGCCGAATACCGAATAGTTAAAATCCAGTGTACAGTTTACATAAAATGATATGAAGAAATGAATTTGTTATTGTATTTTGTATATATAATAATTCAAACTTTATCGACTTTTAATATTATAATTGAACACATAAAGAAGTCTTTTCTCATATTCATATTCAAAGAACACGTTATATTGTTATATGTTTATGTTAAGAAAAATTCAACGGTTATATGCACGTGTATTTATATTCAATAAAGTCATTCATAATATTTAATCTAAGGATTTATAATTAAAGGGATATTAAGAGCTCTTTATTACAAAAAATATGAACAATATTTTTGGTCGGTTTTTGAAGTAAAACTTCTTTAAGCGCGACATGGGTGTAAAAACTTCTTTAGGCGCGACATGGGTGTAAATCCGTACAAATGCAACGAAAACGCCAACGTGAAGTTGAAGACTACGACGCTAGTAAGCGCAGCTATCGCAATTATTCGATCTAGTCTGCGAGCAAAACAAAAAATACATCAAATGTCAAATCATATGTCAAAAACAAAACAAAATGTGTCGACTTTCACTTGAGTTTTGTATTTAGCTCGTAGTCTATAAACATTTTTTGAAGTAAAACTTCTTTAGGCGCGACATGGGTTAGCAGTATAATTTGTGAGTTAATAAAAATGTCAAGATCGGAAGAATATTTTATCCCGTCCCCCATAAATAATTGTAGTGCAAATGATCGCAAATAAATAATGAAACTAAGGAAAAATCTGCGCTGCGTAAGAAATGATAGTTTTGGCTATGTATGTTTTGTGTGTGATCGACTTTGGCTTCAAAGTGGCTTAGAAATATCAAATGATGCTCAAAAACAAATTCTTAATAATGTTTTTTTAATATTGATTCAAATAATCAGGTTGGATGTCAAACTTGTCGAAAAATATTAAATTCGGGTAAAATTCGGGTAAAATTCGAGTAAAATTCCCACTTTGTGTAAATTTAACGGGTTTGTATTTCCACCTATACCAAATTAACTACCTAAACTAGATCTGTATCTGAAAGGTTAATTTCACCTAGGTTGTGTTTCATGCAAATTAGACGATTGCAACATGCAAATGGACAATTTGGAATGTTTAGCCAAATTATAAATGTGCCTGTTGACATTAATAATATGGTTAATTTATTACCTCGTAATATTGATGATGATCATTGCATTAACGTTCACATAAAAAAGCAAATGATTCATAGATCAAGCTATGTGCAGGGCTTGATAAATAAAACAAATATAAAAGTATGGCTTCAATTCGTTAGGCAAGACGGATATTACAGCTGCTCAAGGAATGAGATTATATCGTAAGCAAATAAGTAAAAAATTACAAACAGTGAATGAATGTATGTTAATTTTAATTACATGAAGTTCTTCAAACACAATTCTTACAGGATGGGTTAGTTTGCAAAAACAATATTTGTTTAGGCGTTGTTTAATATAATCCACTGTGTGAATGAATATTATAGAATTTATTAATCAGCAATTACTTTAAAACGATCATGTCATATTTCAAGTATGACTTTGATTACATTATTGTTCACAATCATAAATATATAATTTATAATTCATCATTATACGAGGTGTGTTCAAAAAGTACCCGGAATTACTAATAATTAAATTTCGCGGGTCTGGAGTGTCTGATTGTCAAAATTTTTTTTTATTGTGTTGGTATACATGCCCCTAAAGTATGATGAAATTTTCAGCTATATTCACTGTTTACTTTGTCTGTGGTAGTCGCTAAGGTTCGACGTGTTTTTCTGAGCTCGGCGATTTTTACAATGGAAGAATTGAAAAGTCAAAGAATTTGTATTAAATTTTGCGTAAAAAATGAAATAAAGTGTTGCAAAGTGCAAAAATTCACCAGATATGGCTCCGTGTGACTTTTTCCTATTCCCAAAGTTGAAGAGACCCATGAAAGGACGGCGGTTTTCCTCGATTGAAGAAAATCGCTGAGAGTGCTCAAGGACATATCAAAAAGTGAATATCAAGGGTGCTTCGAAAATTGGAAAAAACGCTGGCATAAGTGTATTATATCTGGGGGGGACTACTTTGAAGGGGACCACATTAATGTAGACGAATAAATAAATATTTTTTTGAAAAAACGAAAATTCCGGGTACTTTTTGAACAGACCTCGTATAAATATGTATAATGATTGACGACACTAATAAATGTGTGCTTCACGAGTATTACCATATTACTAATAAACATTATTTAAAATTTTTATATGATGTATTTATTTTTACTCAACTTAAATTTAATACTTTATACAGTAGCAAATAAGTTTTACTTCAATTGCGTGTGATCCTTACGCGCACTCTTTTTTCTATTTATTTTATTATAATTGGCCTGTCTAATAAATAAGGAATAAAATTATGTTCATAAAAGAAAATATTAAATGTTAATGAAAGAAATAATTGGAAATACATTTATATATATATATATATATATATATATATATATATGTAAAGAAACGCTTTTTGATTTATTTTCCTACCACATATGTTATATAATTATTCAGTATTCGGCAGAATAGTATAAATGGTGACAAATTTGTCAAATCAGAAAGAGTAACCAAATAGTCATTACAAGCCTGGGCAAACAAATTGAATATACATTTAGTACTAATATAACAACTGCGAATAGTAATTACATTAATACGAACGAGTTTAGGCGGTAAAAACCTGCCAAACAGTTGCTGAATATTCGGTATTCGGTGTCTGCCTGGAGTAGACCGAATATTCGATATTCGGCGTTTTGCCGAATGCACTATTCGTTGCAAGCATAATATTAATATAATAATGCTTATTACGTTTGTTATATTTACAAACCTAGTTACAAAATTTATCTTAAGCAGTTTTTTTTTTTAGAGATAATGATATTTGAGGTCTTTTGCTAGACAAATATCGAATGAATCTAAAGTTTTATGTCAAATTTTGTAAGAATGATTTAACATAATATAAATTATAATGTTATCCATATTTCATATTGTAAACAATCTCTGCTTCAAATGCGCACCTTTGCTAGATTTTTTGTAGTTTTTGCTGTTAAATTACCTTTGATGATAGCTTACAAATGTTTCATCACACACTGACTGAGATAGATTATAGTCTTTGATTTTTCTTTTCATCTCGCTTATTTAAGTATTAAGAACATTATGCATCACACTCGTCTTCTTCATAGTCTTCTTCCTAATCTGAAATATTTTCATAATATATTAGTGAAATATGTAAAATTAAATCAATCTAAATTAAATATTAAGATATAAGATCAGATTGCCAAAAGTCATCTAAGAAATTGTACCCAATATGATTGTTACTAATCTTAATGAAAAACTCACAAAAAAAGCAACATTCATAGCAATACAATATCTCAGTCTCGTCATCGTCTCATCATGAAGTGATAAATTGTTTTCGAAAATTATCTAATTAAAAATACATATGTATAATCAAAAAGGCTATTTGAAGTGTATCTAATAACTTGAAAATCTTTATGTAATTTCAATTCAGAGCATATTTTGTCAATTTATAAAATATAATTATCAAAAGTTTATAGCAAAAGTGGACAAAATGTTTGTAAAATCAATGAATCTACGGTTAGCATATCTCTGGTTCACTATAGATTATGATTGATTATTCATCAATATAAATTTCCCATATATTACCATCCTCCCTCATAATTTAAATTACTTAAATTTAACATAATTGAATCACGGTTCATGTTTCACTGAGTTCACCTGACAACACTCATTATTTTTCTAAATGTCCTGTCACAAATTTTAATATTTCCTTCCATCGCATGTGCCTGTAGGTGCCCTTTGCCTGCCTCCGGTTGTGTTCCTAGGGTCCATCGTGCAGAAATTATTAGGAGTATAATTTAAAACAAAAATTTAAAAAGCAAATAAAGAAATGATGATATTATGACAAGCATATAACTAAATGTCTCAATGTTGATACATGATTTCACTGATTTTCAATTTAATAATCATTAATTCAATAATCATTTACCCGATAATAATTATTATTATTATTATTCTTATTACAGTGCTGTTATCAAAAAAGATTAGAGGATTGATGATTGTCAGCGAGTGATTTTCTTTACTTAAGTGAAAAAGTATGTAAACATAAGGTATGTTTTAATTTTTATGTTTTTGATTTACAATTTTGAAGATATCATTATTTTTTAATTTTTTAAAAATTTGAACTTAAATTATCATGATGAGACGATGACGAGACTGATTTTGATAAATATTTGTTTTAGTATTTAATTTTAATTTCCAATTTAAATGCATATATGTACTTATATATTTGTTTCAAATATATCTATTTTTGTTTGTAAAATATTTGAAATCAGTAAATAATTAAAAATATTTAGCAATACTTAACTATTGAAACACAAAAAAAATAAAGCTGATGGGATCTGAACCCTATAATTAACTTCCCGAAGAAGAAGTTCATGTTTTCAACAAAAAAATTCTATTCGCTAATTTTATGTTTTCTCGAATGTTTCAAGCCATTCTGAATCAAATGACACCAAATTTGGAAAAAGTATGTGTGTATGCGTGTATGTGAACAGATTTTTTGCCGTAAATCGACGTTTTCTCAAAAACGGCTAGACCGATTTCAAAAATTTAAAAGCTATTCGATGTATCTCGATGAGGATTATCGTTTCTCAGTTTTGTGCGACGATCGACCGAGCCGTTCCTTTGTAATTTGGAAAAAAGTGTTAAAATTTCGTACACATTTAAGCTCATACTATCGAATCGATTTTAAAAAATCAAAAATTGTTTCAAAGATATTGGTTGGAAATGATACTGATTAGTTTTAGGTTGAAATTAATTGTTGAAAAAAAAATTTAAGACGATTCTTCTGGATCTTTTTTTGGCGTTATACAGCATGGTCTTACAGAACTTACTGAAATATTACGGCCTTACGACATGTAGTTTAATTTTTAAAATTGAGAAAATGAGTAGTTTTTTCAAGGTTCGTTAAAATTAAAATTAGACGATTTACTAGATATAACGATAGAATACTTGGTCTGAATGAACATACTAAACCATTAAAGTCCTATGGAAATTGGTTCAGTTATAAAAATTATTGATTTGTAAAATTTGCTTTTAAAAAATACTCCGATTTAAAGTGTTCATTCGTTTTCAACTATGTGTAATAAATCCATGAGGAATACTTTTAATCACTCATAAATTAATTTATTATTTATTGACTAAGTCGATTATTTACACATATCGGGAAGTTCATGTAACTTGCCTCAAGACAAAATACCAATACCAACTAGTTTTTAATTCTTTTCATCTGTGAATCGGAATGTAAATCAAAAAGTATGGAGAGACCAATCCTCACAGACCTCATATTTTAAGGTGTTCGGTTTGACCATCATCATGCAAAAATTCATCAAAATCCCAGAAGAGTAAATCTGAAGTTAATTACTCTTTGTAAGTCATACGAAAAATGAATGATTCTGTAATATTCTTGGAATTGATATAATTAATTAATGTATTTGTATACTAAATTGAGGTTAATTTGAAAACAAAACTAGCTAATTTGAAAACGAGGGGTACCTTCGAGCACATGTGATAGAAGGAAATAATAAATATTCAAAGGGTATGGGCGCATTGCCATACAGAATCGGCCCCACCCTGGTATTTAAATAATTTATACGCCATTTTATAGGTCTATTTGATAAAAACCGATATACCAATTTTCAACTTTGTACCTCATCTTATGGCCGAGATATCATTGAAAATATGCCAAAGTGGCCCCTTCTTTCAAACTCACTTTTTGGCGTAACCATAAAAAATCGAAAAAAATTTTACGTGATTCTACTCACATTGACTCAGACCACATTACGTAGAACAATCGATTCAAAAAAATCGTTTACTATTAGCTGAAAAAGACGAAATAATTTTTCAATTGATTATTATTTAGGGTAGTGCATTTATTTGGACCACTTTCTAATTAGCGTTATTCGAAAGCCTATTGTTTTTTCTTTGAGTACTGCAGATATTGTTCAAATCAATTTAGTGGAACACATTGGAAAATTGAAAAGAACAGAGCAAGTACACCCGCGGGTAACGCTAATAGTACCCTGCAATTGCATAGAGTTCGTTCGGACGCAAAACAGTGCGCGATGCGCCGAAACGATTCTTAAGAAATTCTGAATGCGAAAATATTTATTTTATAGTTATATATGTATAAATTCACGGAGTTTGAAATTTTTAGACATTATTAGTTTTACTATATTAATTAAATCACTGAAACTAGTGGTGTATCGTGCCTTAAGGCAAATTACTGGAACTTCCCGTACTATAATGAAATAAGAATATTGAATGCTTTCAAATATATTATTATAAATACTGTAACTTTTATTATTCGAATTTATCCCTATTTCATATTGTAAACAATCTCTGGTTTAAATGCGCACCTTTCCCAGATTTTTTGTAGTTTTTGCTGTTAAATTGCCTTTGATGATAGCTTACAGACGTTTTATCACACACTTTTCTTTTCATCTTGCTTATTGAAGTATTAAGAACATTATGCATCATCCTAGTCTTCTTCCTCATCTGAAATAGATTCATAACATATTACTGAAATATGTAATAATAAATCAATTCAAAATTAAGATTAAGGGACCGATTCTGCCGCAATGTTATGATAAGGTCATGTTATGAAGAATTTTCCATAGTAATATAGACAAAAGTTATGCGGTTGGTGTTCAGTCAGGCGAATTTTTCAGGTTTTTTCAAGCAAAACATAACCTAAAAGCCGCACAAATGTCAAAAAAACGATGTTAGATAAGTGTGTGTTTCTGATTCCTCTTAGGTAACATACGAGTGACGTTGCAGTTTATGCTTAAAACGCCGGAATGAACAGCAAATACATGATATTTTGACAGCATTCAGTATGATTCCTTCGCATAATGTATGGAGGTCGGAGCGTAACATAGCCATGTCGTAACATTTCTCTGTTACGCGCAGAATCGGTCCATAAGATATAAGATCAGATTGCCAAAAGTCATCTAAGAAATTGCACCCAATATGATTGTTACTAATCTTAATGAAAAACTCACAAAAAAAGCAACAGTCATAGCAATACAACATCTCAGTCTCGTCATCGTCTCATCAAGAAAATTTAAGTTCAAATTTTAAAAATATTATAAAATAATATCTTTAAAATTGTAAATCAAAAACATAAAAATTAAAATATACCTTATGTTTACATATTTCTTCACTTAAGTAAACAAAATCACTCGTTGACAATCATCAAGCCTCCAATCGTTTCTGATAATATCACTGTAATAAGAATAATAAGATTATTATCGGGCAAATGATTATTGAATTAATGATTATTAAATTGAAAATCAGTGAAATCATGTATCAACATTGAGACATTTAGTTATATGCTTGTCATAATATCATCATTTTCTTTTATTTAGCTTTGTATCATTTTTTTTAAACATCCCATAAGGTAAATTATTATAATCGTCCAAAAATCGAAAATAAGCATGTTTGCATATCTTCACATTTTGAAGGTTTCTGAATATTTTGGCCTGCTTTAGATAAAATTATTGTGTGTATGTATGGATACAATTTTTCCACATTTTCAGGAGCACAGATCAATTGACTTGAAATATTCAAAAAACATTATATTCCTATTAATTTTTTTAGCAAAAGGTGATTCAGCCGTTTCGGAGAATGAATTTTATTTTTAATTCTAGCTAAAATTCTAAAACTCTTATATTAAGGTGACCATACGTCCCAGGTTTTTCTAAAAGCAATATTTGTCCCAGATTGCCCTGGGTTTTCAAATAGTATAGGTCTAAATTGAATCTTTACCCTTACTAGATACTAAAATTATAACTACTTATCTAATATCTGAAAATGTTATGTATAACTACTAGTAATCCTTATATGAAAAAGGAGGTTTAAAATAGCTTTTCACATTCATAATATTGAACATCAGTTTTCAATTTCACGAAAATTAACAAAATTATGAAAATAATTTGCTACTTATTTTTAAGCTAGTGGTGAATGGCATTGGGCTCTTAAGGCAAATTGCTGGAACTTCACGTACCAAAAATCATTTTTTTTTTAAAAAAGATTCAATTTTCTTTTTGAACTCTAAAAAAAAAACGATAGTTGAGATTTTTAGGATTTCTGAAAAAAATTTACCTTTCTGGAAAATTTTATTTATACTTTGAAATTGATGACGACGATAAATTTAAAAGAAAAATAAAAAAATACTATAAGGAAATTGAAGACAAAGAAGACTGAAGAGTTATATATAAAGATATTTTAATTATAATAGATATTACATTAATGAAATGAAATGTATATATAGGCACCTCGATCTGACAGATATGAAAATAATGTATATATATTAAAAAAAAAAAAACATTTTGAACTTTTCAAAGCAATCACGATACGTTAGCTGCGTAGAAACGAAATATCGAAGCGCATGGGCGCCGCGTCACAGTATAACGGATAAACGACGTTACGGAACCCAAAGAAATGTAAACAAAATTTATACTTATTGTTAAAATCTTCATAAAATATCTGATAATTTGATGTGCATATATCTAATGACCATTTTTGCCAGCCAAATGGCATTTTTTTTCACTTTTTTTATTGGATCTCCAAAACCGCTAGACCTGTCTTCCCAAAAATTTCATCACTTCTTCAATACAAATAAAATGTTTTTATGTTATGTTATGTTATGTTAAATGTTTTAAAATTATAATGTTATCCCTATTTCATATTGTAAACCATAGTTGTAAACAATCTCTGCTTCAAATGCGCACCTTTGCTAAGTTTTTTGTAGTTTTTGCTGTTAAATTGCCTTTGATGATAGCTTACAAACGTTTCATCACACACTGACTGAGATATAATATAGTCTTTGATTTTTCTTTTCATCTCGCTTATTTAAGTATTAAAAACATTATGCATCACACTCATTTTCTTCATAGTCTTCCTCATCTGAAATAAATTCATAATATATTAGTGAAATATGTAATATTAAATCAATCCAAACTTAAGATTAAGATATAAGATCAGATTGCCAAAAGTCATCTAAGAAATTGTACTCAATATGATTGTTACTAATCTTAATGAAAAACTCACGGAAAAAAAGCAACGTTCATAGCAATACAATATCTCAGTCTCGTCATCGTCTCATCATGATAATTTAAGTTCAAATTTTTAAAAAATTAAAAAATAATGATATCTTTAAAATTGTAAATCAAAAACAAAAATTAAAACATACCTTAAGTTCACATACTTCTTCACTTAAGTAAAGAAAATCACTCGCTGACAATCATAAATCCTCTAATCTTTTTTGATAACAGCACTATAATAAGAATAGTAAGATTATTATCGGGTAAATGATTATTGAATTAATGATTATTAAATTGAAAATCAGTGAAATCATGTATCAACATTGAGACATTTAGTTATATGCTTGTCATAATATCATCATTTTCTTTTATTTAGCTTTGTATAATTTTTTTTTAACATCCCATAAGGTAAGTTATTATAATCGTCCAAAAATCGAAAATAAACATGTTTGCATATCTTCACATTTTGAAGGTTTCTGAACATTTTGGCCTACTTTAGATAAAATGATTGTGTGTTTGTGTATATGTAAGAATACAATTTTTCCACATTTTCATGTGCACAGATCAATTGATTTTAAATATTCAAAAAACATTATATTCCTATTAATAAAAAACGTACTGATTAGTTTTTAGAAAAAGTTGGTTCAGCCGTTTCGGAGAATGAAGCAAAAGAGTGCAGAACATGAAAATTGAGTTTTTGAGAGAAAAGAGCATCCGATTTGAATGACAAAAAAAAATATTTTGTTTGTAAAAAAAAACGATTAGTTTTGGATGGTTTTCCCAAAATTTTAAAAATGTTTTTTAAAAAAGTGATTCGGATTTTATTTTTAATTCTAGCTAAAATTCTAAAACTCTTATATTAAGGTGACCATACGTCCCGGGTTTTTTTAAAAGCAATATTTGTCCCAGATTTCCCCGGGTTTTCAAATAGTATAGGTCTAAATTGAATCTTCACCCTTACTAGATACTAAAATAATAACTACTCATCAAATATCTGAAAATGTTATGTATAACTACTAGTAATGATAGAAGAACTAATTATAAGAAAAAAATGTTTGATATAGTTTTTCAAAAAAACTAATACTTTTCAAGTTACTGGCCACTAAAGATTCATATATTTTTAGAGTTTTTCTTCGTTTTTTTTGCAAATATCTCCTAAAATATACATTTTAACGAAAATCATGTAATGAACAAAATAATGTCAATAAAAATCTTAATAAATTGGTATTACATAAGTATTACATAAAGTGTTCTAGGAAAAATATTAAGCAAGATTTGAAAGAGCAAAGTCATTTTTCAATTCGTTCAAGATTTAATTGTTGTATTTAAAGCCATCTAGTGTCGAGGTTTTACATTTTATGCATTTCTGTGAAATTGGGTTTTATAGTACTAAACATAAGCTTTAAAATGAGTGCTGTTACAAGTTTTTTGCGTGTAAAATGAGTGAGCTATCATGCAAATAAGAAACATATACGAAGTTTTTTTCTTTTAAATCATATGGTTTAATGAGCGCCATTTCCACCAGAATTAAAGGAATTCACATTCCATCTAGAATTGACTTCATTATAGACATCTTGATGGATTCTAGCAGATTCACTACTTTAGTACAAACTATTTTCAAAAAACTCACAATTTTATAAAAACTTTTTTTTCCAATTTTTTTTAAAAATCGAACTTATTTTCATTATATCTCAAAAAGAATAAAAGATACGCATAAAAGCATATAGATAAAAATCAAGGGAATCTTTCTGGCTTATTATTGTTTTTTTTATTATTTTTCTATCACACAAAAATTGACAGAGTTATGAATGTTTAAAGACTGCACGGCCGCGCAAATTGGAAAATAAAGTTTTTATAAAATCGTGAGTTTTCTGAAAATAGTTTGTACTAAAGTAGTGAATCTGCTAGAATCCATCAAGATGTCTATAATGAAGTCAATTCTAGATGGAATGTGAATTCCTTTAATTCTGGTGGAAATGGCGCTCATTAAACCATATGATTTAAAAGAAAAAAACTTCGTATATGTTTCTTATTTGCATGATAGCTCACTCATTTTACACGCAAAAAACTTGTAACAGCACTCATTTTAAAGCTTATGTTGAGTACTATAAAACCCAATTTCACCGAAATGCATAAAATGTAAAACCTCGACACTAGATGGCTTTAAATACAACAATTAAATCTTGAACGAAATAAAAAACGACTTTGCTCTTTCAAATCTTGCTTAATATTTTTCCTAGAACACTTTATGTATTATAATACCGATTTATTAAGATTTTTATTGACATTATTTTGTTCATTACATGATTTTCGTTAAAATGTATATTTTAGGAGATATTTGCAAAAAAACGAAGAAAAACGCCAAAAATATATGAATTTTCAGTGGCCAGTAACTTGAAAAGTATTAGTTTTTTTGAAAAACTATATAAGACATTTTTTCTTATAATTAGTTCTTCTATCGATTTCCGACCTTATTTTAAAAAAATGTAATTACACAATTTAGAAGGGGTGTCACCCCCCCGGGTGGTGATGGCGCAACCCGAATTGTTTTCACTTTTGAACTTGAGGGTAAGATGAACCTAATTCCAAAATTCCATTGAATTCGGAGCACAGTAAAAAAATACAGACCAAAAACGCTCCGTTTACTGCACTATTGGTATGCTGAAAAATTGGATGCTGCACGCGTGAAAGTGGCAGATCAGCGCGCCAACGAGAACTCTCGGGAGGCCAGAATGCTTCGTAGGCAACAGCAAATAGAAATTTTGGAAACTTGCACAATGACTGATGAACTATTATATGGCCCAGAAATAGATGACTCGGTTTAAGGAATTCAATAATTCCAATTTCTGTACGTAAATCCAACGTGAACTTTAAACGCGTTTTTCTCAAAACTCAAAAACCGCTTAGTAAATTTTAATGAAATTTATACAGCTTTTAGAATACATAATAAACTCGGGCCTGATCGAAGGATTTTTATTTTTTCAAAAATTTCAATCTTTTACGACCAATTAACTGTTGATTTTTTACCCAAAAATCTATAAATTTTATTTCTGATGCTTCCATTTTGTTAATTTTTGCGAATAAAAGAAAACCTTCGATCCGGCCCAGGATTATCTATTTATAAAACTATTTTTTATTTGATTGATTTTAGATGAATCTCTAAGGAGTTATGATGCTTCCATTTTGTTAATTTTTGCGAATAAAAGAAAACCTTCGATCCGGCCCAGGATTATCTATTTATAAAACTATTTTTTATTTGATTGATTTTAGATGAATCTCTAAGGAGTTATGATGGTCACCGCCAGGACCGTGTCTTGAAACAGGGTCAACAAAAACAGCTATAACTTTGGGAATATTTATTTATTTTTTCCGAAATTTTTGTTACTTCAAGTCAAAACATTGTATAATGATGCCGTATTAATATATTTATAAAAAAAACATCGTTTAATAATAAAAAAACAATACTGAAAATTCTCATTTTTTCGTACCTCCAAGTACACCTAACCCCTTAAGGCAAATTGCTAGAACTTCACGTACCAAAAATCTTTTTTTTTTGAAAAAAAGATTAAATTTTCTTTTTGAACTCTGAAAAAAAAACGATAGTTGAGATTTTTAGGATTTCTGAAACAAATTTACCTTTCTGGAAATTTTTTTTTATACTTTGAAATTGATGACGACGATAAATTTAAAAGAAAAATAAAGAAATACTATAAAGAAATTGAAGACAAAGAAGACTGAAGAGTTTATATATAAAGATATTTTAATTATAATAGATATTATATTAATGAAATAGTCAAATGAAATGTATATATAAAATATGAAAACTGTTTTTCATAATCTCTCATACCAGGCACCTCTGTCTGACAGAGATATGAAAATAATGTATATATATATTAAAAAAAAAAAAACATTTTGAACTTTTCAAAGCAATCGCGATACTTTAGCTGCGTAGAAGCGCGTGGGCGTCGCGTCGCAGTATAACGGATAAACGACGTTACGGAACCCAAAGAAATGTAAACAAAATTTATACTTATTGTTAAAATCTTCATAAAATATCTGATAATTTGATGTGCATATATCTAATGACCATTTTTATCAGCCAAATGGCATTTTTTTTCACTTTTTTATTGAATCTCCAAAACCTGTCTTCCCAGAAATTTCATCACTTCTTCAATACAAATAAAATGTTTTTTGAATTATTCAAATCGGACGCTCCGTTCTCTCAAAAATTGTATTACAATTTTTGGCTCTTTCTGTCCCGTATCTTTGAAACGGCTCGACCTGCCATAGCCAAAAACTAATCAGCACGTCTCTTTATTAATAGTAAAAGAATGTTTTTTGAATTATTCAAATCGGTTGATCCGTGTTCCCGAAATCGTCGACGAAAATTTGTATCCACGCGCACACACACATACAAGCCCATTTTTTCTAAGGTATGCCAAAATGTTCGGAAAACTCTGAAAAGTAAAGATATATAAAACTTTATTTTCCATTTTTTGCGAAAACTATAACTTATCTTACGGGAAGTTAATAATCATGAAGAAAATTGATTAAAATTTTAAAATAAGTTTGAATGTTGAAAAAACTAGATTTTGTATTTATAAGATAAAATATAACATATAATCGAATAATAAAGTTTTCTTAGTCGGTAATTCTGATAAAAAAAACTTATTTAAAAGAATCTATTTTCAAAAATGAAAAACTGTTCGAAAGATATCATTTGGAAATGATACATATTATATTTAGTTAAAAATCTATCGAGCCGTTTTCTTGCAATTCACTGTTGAAAAAAAAATTTAAGTCGATTTTTATGGAACTTTTTTTGCAATATATATATCCTGGTCTTATAGAACTTACTGAAATATTACGACCTTACGACAAGTAGTTTAATTCTAAAAATTCATCAAAGTTTGGGAAAATGAGTAGTTTTTTTTGACGTTTGTTAAAATTAAAATGAGACGATTTTTTGGTTTAATGATGGAGTGTTTGTTCGTTTTCAATTATGTGTAATGAATCCACACGGAATACTTTTAATCACTCATAAATTAATTTATTTTTATTGATTAATTCGATTATTTATACATATCGGGAAATTCATGTAACTTGCCTCAAGGCTAAATACCAATACCAACTAGTTTTAGCATACATCCCACCCCTAGTCGCTAAATTACTAATAATTGCCGGCCCGGTTTTGACTCGAAATAATATGGTCACCTTACTTATATACTTGAAATAAATAATTTTAACTTTGCTATTCAGTTTACATAATTCTCATAAATATGAGAAATATGAGAAGGTTCTTCATTCTCCGATTGATAAATTTTGTTTATTTACTTTTTATAAATAAAAAAAAACAAACATCATCATCGGATTCTTGTATTTTTGTCTATCAAATAAGATACAACGAAAGTTACAAGTGGACCCCAGGGGTATAACTGGACGCAGACGAGGGGTACCTTCGAGCACATGTGATAGAAGAAAATAATAAATATTTAAATTTATGACAGGACATTCAGAAAACAATGAGTGTAGAAAAACCAACCGTTTTTAATTATGTTAGATTTAAAAGATTTGAATTATAATGGAGGATAAAGGCATATGTGAAATTTATGTTAAGGGGGGCGATACATGTAACAAGAAAAAAAAAATCGATTTTTTTTTTTCATAAATCGTTACAATAACATCTCAAAAATATGCCTGTAAATATTCAAAACGAAATTATCATTATTTATAATGATTAGTGCTATTGTACTCTTATCTGTTTCTGTGTCAAAACTTTAAACGCGTTTTTCTCAAAACGACATTTTTGAAATTTGCGGGCGGGATAACTCAAAAAGTTCTCAACCGATTCCAATGAAATTTTGCACACATCTACTTTACAGTAATAGCTTCTAAACCTTAAACCTCAAACATTCAAAAAAAAATTTCAAAAATTAACCCTTTTACCAAAAAAAACCACTGAAAAAAAGGTGAAAAATCGAACTTTTTTTTTCTAAGGTGTGCCAATTTACGATTTTGTGACTTACTTAATTTTTTTTTTGGTTTAACTAGAAGATATATGTTTTATGAACACGTACAAACTAATTTTTTTAAATTCAGATCACCGTACGAAAAGTGAAAACGCCCGCAAATTGATGACGTTTTCCGAGAGGGTCTTGGCAGATTTATTTTTACGGCAGCCATTAAAAAAAAAAAAATTAAAAAAAATTTTTTTTTGTGTATTCTAATATATAATAAATAACCCTAAAAAAGTTCAAAAAGATTCAATCATTCCTTCCCAGTTTAAAAAGTCCTCAATAAATGGTAAAAATTAAGGCGATTACATGTATCGCCCCCCTTAATGAATAATCATAATCAAAAATGAAGTACAAATAACTTTAGATTGATTGATTTTACAAACATATTTTCCACTTTTCTTAAATAAATAGACAAAATATGCTTTGAATCAAAATTACGTAAAGATTAAATATATTGCAGATGAACTTTTTAATAATTTTTATTCATTACTCATTTCCCATTGCAAAAACTCATTTGCATTATAAATATATTTATTTATAATTTTCTCCGGAATTAAATAATTATCAAAAACGATTAGTTATCACTTAAGCCCAGTGCACATAAGCCCAGTATTTCTTGTAACATATTTTCTGTTTTTTATAGTAAAGCTGCGGTTTCCAACCACTGCTATAAGGCGAGAGCGTACATCTTCTTCCAAGATACTATTTTCAAAAATAAACCAACATTTTTGAAACCATAGAGAAAAAAAACAATTTGTTTTAATAATTTAACATATACTCAATATCAATTGTGTATTTATGAAATTAAATTGTTGAAAAAAATTAAGGAGAGTGCAACAATTTTTTACTGTACTAAGAAACTACTTTATTGGAATGTTAACATAAAACATGTATGTTTTATCTTTACAATCTTAATATCATATATATAAAATAATAATAATAATAAAAAAAATAAAATGCTAGAGTCATATTTTACAATTAAATACGCTTACCTTATGATAAAAGCTTGACAGAAAATATGTACGCTTGTACATGATGTACAAGAAATACTGGCATCATGTGCACTGGGCATTAGTTTTAATATAAATATTGGTATTGGTATTTTCCCTTGAGGCATGAATGAATCTAAAATGTTTTTTCAAATTTTGTAAGAATGATTGAACATAATATAAATTATAATGTTATCCCTATTTCATATTGTAAACAATCTCTGCTTCAAATGCGCACCTTTGCTAGATTTTTTGCAGTTTTTGCTGTTAAATTGCCTTCTATGATAGCTTACAAACGTTTCATCTCACACTGGCTGAGATATAATATAGTCTTTGATTTTTCTTTTCATCTCGCTTTTTTAAGTATTAAGAACATTATGCATCACACTCGTCTTCTTCATAGTCTTCTTCCTAATCTGAAATATTTTCATAATATATTAGTGAAATATGTAAAATTAAATCAATCTAAATTAAATATTAAGATATAAGATCAGATTGCCAAAAGTCATCTAAGAAATTGTACCCAATATGATTGTTACTAATCTTAATGAAAAACTCACAAAAAAAGCAACTTTCATAGCAATACAACACTCAGTCTCGTCATCGTCTCATCAAGAAAATTTGAGTTCAAATTTTAAACAAATTAAAAAGTAAATGATATCTTTAAAATTGTAAATCAAAAACAAAAATTAAAACATACCTTATATTTACACACTTCTTCATTTAAGTGAAAAAATTCACTTGCTGACAATCATAAATCTTCTAATCTTTTGTAATAATACCACTGTAATTAGAATAATAAGATTATTATCTGGCAAATGATTGTTGAATCAATGATTATTAAATAAAAAATCAGTGAAATCATGAATCAACATTGAGACATTTAGTTATATGCTTGTCATAGTATCATCATTGAAATACTAAATCAAAATTATAAAAATTAAACAATACCTGATGAAGATATTCATAACTGCACCAGCTGATGTTCAAAAATGCAATCCTATAATATTTTCTGATAACATCACTGTAATAAAAATAATAAGATTATTATCAGGAAAATGGTTATTATATTAACGATTATTAAATTTAAAATCAGTGATTGCTTGTATCAACATTGAGACATTTAGTTATATGCTTGTCATAGTATCATCTTGAAATAGTAAATCAAAACTATAAAAATTAAAACATACCTGATTCAGATAACTGCACAAAATCATCTGACATTCACAAATGCCATCCTCAAATCATTTTTGATAACATCCCTGTAATAAGAATAGTAAGGTTATTATCGGCCTAATGGTTATTGAATTAATGATTATTGAATTGAAAATCAGTGAATTCATGTATCAACATTTAGACATTTAGTTATATGCTTGTCATAATATCATCATTGAAATAGTAAATCAAAAATATAATAATTGTAACATAGTAACATAAGATAATAATGAGAAACAAAATATAATGGAAATAAAAATAATGGAAAGTATTTCCATTGTAATGATATCCATATAATGATAATTGTCATAAAACAAAAAGCAAATGATTATAAAATTAATAAATAAAATAAAATGTAAATAATAGAAATCATATTAGAAAAGCAATGAATAACAAATAATAATAGATTAAACAAAGAAACAATATTAAAAATAATAAAACAACAACATAATAATGATAATATAAATAATAAAAAAACATTGATCTCAAATATCGATTTCTCATAAAAAGTTCATCTATTTATTTTTTCATTATTATTATTATTAATTAATGTAAATGTGTTTCATTGTCATATAAACCCCAATATCAATTTTAAACTGTTCCATTATATTCTTATTAATATTTAACAATAAAATTCCAACAATCTGGAAATAAACAAAAAAAACTTTACACTTACTTTATCAATTTTAAACCGTTCAGTCATATGCTTGATTTTCCATCTTTCAAATTGAAATGCATCTGAATATTTTATGTAATAAAAAGTAATTAAAAATTAACATGAATAATGTGTTTCATTATAACTTAAATTCCAACAATCCGGAAACATAAGTGAGATAAAAAAGTAAAATTTTTTATAATATCTGTATAATAACTGTAAACAAATGAGTCATAAAAGTAATAAAAAAAAAATGAGTGGTAGAAAAAATATTAGAAAATCAATAAATAACAATAATAAATATAACAAAAGAACAATCTTAAAAACAATAAAAATAATGAACTAAATAATGAAAAAAAAAAAAATAATATTGATTTAAAAAAAAATTTCATCACTTAATTCATTTTTTCATTATTATTATTAATTGATGTATCTGTGCTTCATTGTGACATAAATCCCAACAATCAAATAAACTATTTTTTTTTTTTATAATATCAATATTGAACCGTTCAGTCATATGCTGGTCAAAATTTACTAATAAACTTTCATTATTTCACATAAAACTCACTTGTATTCTCAAAGGCTGACCCCAAATCTTCTCTGATAACAGCACTGTAAAAAAAAAAAAATAGATTAATACTTGGCAAATATATATTGAGTTGATGATTATTAAATTGAAGATCAGTGAATTCATGTATCAACATTGAGACATTTAGTTATATGCTTGTCATAATATCATCATTAAAATTGTAAATGAAAAATATAAACATTATAATAAATCTTGTGAAAATATTCAAACATAACTGAACATCATAGCTGATATAACAACAGAAAATTGTAACAACTAAACAAGTTACTCGACTAATGATTTTTTTTTTTAAATTCAGTTAAGCCATGTATCAATATAAAGTTCATGCTTTCTCTACTAAGCACTTTTAGTTAAATTATATTTCTTTAAATAGAAATCAGACAGTCTCTGCTTGCAACTATGAACCCAAAAACACCTTCGAAAATGTAGTCTAGCCATTTTTTAAAATGAAATGATTCTGAATATTTTATGTATTAGAAAGTAATTATAAATTAACATGAATAATCTGTTTCATTATGATATAAATCCTAACAAACTGAGAACAAATTTTACAACTTTCTTTATCTTCAACTTAAAACTGTCCAGTCATATGCTGGTCAATATAGAACCATAAATTTTCATTATTTCACATAAAACAAAAACTCACTTGTATTCTCAAAGGCTGATACCAATTCTTCTCCAATAACAGCACTGTAATAAGAACAATAATATTATTATCTGGCAATTGGTTATTAAATTAATAATGAATTAATTCATAATCAGTTATTTCATGTATCAACATTGAGACATTTAGTTATATGCTTGTCATTGTATCATCATTGATATTGTAAATGAAAAATATAAGGATTATAATAAATCTCAAAAATATTCCTGAACATTCCTAAAGTTGATATTATAACAACAGAAAATTGTAACATAACTAAACAAGTTGATTGATTAATGATTTATTTAAATATCTGTTATGCCATGTATCAATATAAAGTTCATGCTTTCTCTACTAAGCATTTTTAGTTAAATTATATTTCTTAAAATATAAATCAGGCAGTCTGCTTGCAACTATGAACCCGAAAACATCTTCCAAAATGTAACCATTTTTTAAAAAGAAATGCTTCTGAATTTTTTATGTATTAGAAAGTAATTGAAAATTAACATAAATCATGTGTTTCATTATACAAAACTGTTAGGTAATGACAAATCACAACAATCTGGAAGCAAACAAAAAAAAAACAATTTTACAACTTTCTTTATCAACTTTAACTGTTCAAGTCATATGCTTTTCAATATTTATGTCATCCCAGTTAATAAGTATTAAGTCCATTTTTGCTACTTTTCAGGGCATAAATTATAAAGTTTGAGTAGTTGACATTTTGTAAAATGTACTTTAATATGGTTCATGTAAAATGTACTTTAAATATCTGATAAGATATTGCAATTAAATACTTTTATCAGTAATGAGGTATTAGAGTTGATCAATTATTCACCGACTCCTGAATTTGTGCACAAGACAAGACGAATGTAATAGAAAAGAAATTATCATGAATATTATATCATCTGTGATTTATTTGGAAATATTCATCTATAGTTTACGAAAAGAAAGATGGACAAATGCTCACATCATCATAACTAACTTAATATTAAATTAATATAAACCACTTATACAGAGTCAAGAAAATAAGTATCTACTTCTATTACATTTTGGCCAAAATTTGACTTAACCACTTATTCACTGGAATTGTAGATTTAATCATCAATTCATTATTTCACATAAAATAAAAACTCACTTGTTAAATTCACAAAGGCAGACCCAAAATCTTCTCCGATAACAGCACTGTAATAAAAAAATGAGATTATTATCTGACAAATATTTATTGAATTAATGGTTAATAAATAGAAAATCAGTAAATTCAATATCAACATTGAGACATTTAGTTATATGCTTGTCATTGTATCATCATTAAAATTGGAAATGAAATATAAAGATTATAATAAATCTCATAAAAATATTCCTGAATATTCCTAAACTTGATATTATAACAAAAGAAAATTGTAACATAACTGAACAAGTTGATTGATTAATGATTTATTTAAATTTCTGTTAAGCCATGTACCAATATAAAGTTCATGCTTTCTCCACTAAGTATTTTTATTTAAATTATATTTCTTAAAATATAAATCACACAATCTGTTTGCAACTATAAACCCGAAAACATCTTCCAAAATATAGTCTAGCCATTTTTTAAAATGAAATACTTCTGAATATTTTATGTAACAAACTGTAAATATGAATAATGTGTTTCATTATGACATAAATCATAATATTCTAAAAAAAAAAACAATTTTGCAGCTCTCTTCATCATCAACTTTAAACCGTTCAGTGAAATGCTGGTCAATATTAATAATAAAATATTATTATTTCATATAAAATAAACTCACTTGTATTCACATAGGCAAACCCCAAATCTTCTCCGATAACAGCACTGTAATAAAAATGAGATTATTATGTGGCAAATAAATATTAAATTGATTATAATTAATAAATTAAAAATCAGTGAATTCATGTATCAACATTGAGACATTTAGTTATATGCTTGTCATAATATCATCATTGAACTAAAATATATGAATTATATAGTTATGAATTCAATTCCGAATTGGTTCGATTATAATAATCTATTGCTCAATTACAACAAAACCCAAATTATGTCTGAATAATTAATTAGGATAAGTAATGAGATCAATTATTTAACTATCAACAGCAATTAGAATTTTCCTCTATCTCTAAATTTTTAGGCATCCAAATACAAAAAAAAACTTGAACTGGGACAATCATTCATTCCATACCAGTACCTAAGTTAACAAAAACTTGTTTTATGTTGAGGACTCTTAAATCAAAAGTTACTTTAAATTACCTTCTTTCAATTTATTATTCTAAGTTCTATTTGCATATGGAATACAATTCTGGGGATACACATCACTGTTAAAGGATACATTTAAAATACAGAAAAGAGCAATAAAAATCATTTTTCCTTTAGTTGCTTGTCCAAATGTAGGAATCTTTTCCTACAATTTAATATTCTCACTGTTCCTTGTATAATTTTGCTAATTACGGTGTCATTCATAAAGAATCCTGAATGCTTCAACCTATCCTCCATGTCAAATTCCTATTATAACTATATGATAAACAAGTAATCAATGCACCTAACACCTTATTTTGTTATATAAAAGGCTATATAATTTAATACTTGAATTAAATTGTCAGTCAAAGATTTGAGTGAAAATATTACATAAGAGAATAGCTATTTTTATCAAGTCTTACTGCTGAAAGAAAAAACCGGGTTGTTCTAAAAGTAACTTCATTTTTTATAGATATTTTGGAATGTCATTTTCATACAATAAACAAATACAATAGAACTTCGATTATCCGGACCTGAGTTATACGGATTTGCAATTATCCGAACTACCAACCGTGACTAATTGTTATGTATGTACATACATACAATTCGAATTTTGCACGATTAATGCTACAGTTTCGTATAT